ATGGAGAGGACCCCACGGAGAAGGGGAGCTTGAAGATGCCCAACAGAGAGGCAATAACTGATATCTCAAGGCACCTGAGAAAGCATGCAAGGGTGAGATCCGGGTACAGGCACAGTTTGGTCTCAGGAGGGAGGGAGAATCCTTCCTCCACTCTAACTGTAAGAACAGAGAAGGAAGAGATGTGCTAAGATGAAGTCAAGGCAACTCAAAGGCTCCGATTTCTCAATAAATTGAGAATTTCCTTAGCTCAAAGTGAGACAGATGGAAAAGATCAGAGGTTTAGGAAGAGAGTAAAAGTGAGCTTTCTGAGAAATCTCTCCAGCTTTGCCAGATACAAGTGACGTGACCACAATCTAATTGCACCCATCCGGCCGCTCTATGGGTTCCTCCAACAGTGCTCAGTGCCCAAGTGTGGGCAAGAAGAAGTGGGAGAACAGGTTCATTTGGGGTTGGAAATTTCCAAGAAGGAATGAAGGAAAAACAGAGGGCAACATACCTTACTTAGGATGGATTCAAAAGTTTGGTGGAGGGGTCCCTGGGGGGCTCCGCTGGTTGAGCATCTGACCTCGGCTCGGGTCATGATCTCACAGTTCGTGAGTTCGAGCCCCGCGCTGGGCTCTGTGCTGACAGCTCAGGGCCTGGAGCCTGCTTCAGATTCTGTGTCTCCCTGTCTCTCTGCCTCTCCCCCGCTTGTGCTCTCTCTCTCAAAAATAAATAAAATGTGAAAAAATTTAAAAAAGTTTGGTAGAAACAACAAACTCTGGAGTCTAATGAGCACAGAAGGAGACAAGATGGATAAAGAGGGGACGTTGCTGGGGAGGGGGTGTCAGCTGACGAAATGGCTCCATGAGATGAAGCAACAAAAGGCTGAGGTAGTGGGGATGGGTCCAAGGTGGCACGGGACCCTCGATATAAAATTCATCCATATTTTGTCGTCACCCTCCACCCCATATATACAGTGCACACGTCGGCACTAAGTGTATTTATCTCTGAATGTTGAATGAACAAACGCATGATGAAGAACTGGCTTCCGATATGATCACTAATCCCCTGGGGAAACCATCGACTGTTTCCTGAGTTTTGTTGTGTGCCAAGGCACTGTTCAAGGTGCTAGGAATCTGATGACGAACCAAACAAACGTGGTATTTGCCAGCAAGGGGCTTAGATTTTCATGGGGGAAGATGGACACAGGCCCCAGATTACAAAGATTGATTAAGTAAGTGAAAAAGGAAAGATGTGTGCAGTCTTTTGTGGATCTTCTGTATTAAAAGTCATGTTGGCTGTGCATAGTTCCCTGATTTATCTGAGTCTTGGTCGCAATTAACTTTCCCAAAAGATCACTTGATTATTGTGCTTGAGAAATATACACTGCTTAGTAATGATTAGTTGCAATTCATTGAACATTTACTAGGGGCCAGGTTGCGCTTACAATACATAATATAATCTCCATAATCCAGGTGAGGAAAGTGGGTCTAGGCAAATGACTGAACAAAGATCACTTTGCTGGTTCGGGGCGCCTGGGTGGCTCAGTCAGTTGAACTTCTGAATCTTGATCTCATAGTTCGTGAGATCAAGTCCCAGTTGGGCTCTGTGCTGACAGCACAGAGCCTTCTTGGGATTCTCTCTCTCTCTCTCTCTCTCTCTCTCTCAAAATAAATAAACTTAAAAAAAAAGATCACTTTTCTGGTTATTAGTAAAGGCAAGACTCCAATCTAGCTGTGCCTCAGCCTGAATTCTCTGTTCTATAACCCATTCCCTCTTCTGGTCAGGAGATTAAATTTGGACAAATGTGGTAGCATTGTGGACTTTGTTCCAGAAAGCTACCAAAATTCCTTAAAATGACCAGGCTTTGTTGTAGGCACATCTGGGGAGCTTCCAAACCCAGAGCTGTCAGAATACTGGAAAGAACTCATTCTACAGGAAAAGAAAACACAGGATGAATACTTCCCCTCTATCCAAAGGTACCACGTCCCGGGAAAGATGTCAAGAGTCAATTTGTTGAATCTCTGGTGTCAAATAAATCATGATTTTGTTGTTGTTGTTTGATATAGACTCATGACTAGATGTTTTTCACATTTTTCACATTTTTTTAATAAAGTCCTTGGGGGCCGACATCTGTCTTTACTTTCTTATAAAGCCCTGACTGTGCTTTGAATGAATACACTTTAATGTTAAGAAGTCAAAATTGGCTTTTTCAGCTTTTTGATGTTTCTCTTCAATTCAGATTCATGTTCACTTTACTTGGAGTCCTCAGGATATTTTCAAACATATCGTGGCTAATACAACTTTGAAAATACTTCTAGAAAATACTAAATCTTCAGGGGCCAAATCATCTAGGCTTAAAACACTTAGTGTAAGTCCAAGATTAACTGTTCAGAATAATTTAAAATAGCTAAATTCTGGTGGTAAACAACATGTATTACATTTTTGTTTAATTTTCCCTTGGAAAATTAAGTCATTTAAAAGGTATATGGTTGCAAATCTGTCCAGATGTGTTCCAAGCAGGGGATGCACACACACAATTTAAGTGTGGACATGAAAACAGGAAAAACCATCTGATTGTTTCACCCCCAGCTCTTCATCCAACCTAATAGCCCTCAAGAAAAACTACATGGGGCGCCTGGGTGGCGCAGTCGGTTAAGCGTCCGACTTCAGCCAGGTCACGATCTCGCGGTCCGGGAGTTCGAGCCCCACGTCGGGCTCTGGGCTGATGGCTCAGAGCCTGGAGCCTGTTTCCGATTCTGTGTCTCCCTCTCTCTCTGCCCCTCCCCCGTTCATGCTCTGTCTCTCTCTGTCCCAAAAATAAATTAAAAAAAACGTTGGAAAAAAAAAATTAAAAAAAAAAAATTAAAAAAAAAAAAAAAGGAAAACTGTGCACTATTACATCCCATGAACCCAGAAGAGTATCTTCAGAATAAAATGTGGAAAAGTCTTAATACAAGAGGTTAGACAGCTGGGGAAATAGTAATTGTATGTATTTTAATTTATTTATTCTGCAAGGTGTACGTGTGTAAGAAGGGGAGAAGATTGGGTAGTCATTCAACAGCTAAATCAAAATGCCAAGGACTCAGTTAAGCCCCATGAAAAGCAGAGATAAAAAAAAAAAAAGGGATTCATGGCGTGCCTAGGTGGTTCAGTTGTGTGCGTGGACTTTGGCTCAGGTCATGATCTCCCCGTTGGTGGGACTGAGTCCCATGTTGGGCTCTGTGCTGATAGTTCACAGCCTGTTCTGCTTCAGATTCTGTGTCTCCCTCCCTCTCTACCTGTCTCCCCCCAACCCCCCACCCCCCACGCCGCTCGAGCTCTCTCTTTCTCTCTCTCAAAAATAAACAGTAAAAAAAAATTTTTTTTAATTAGAGAAAATTAAAAGACAACAAAAAAAAGGAGTCCTAAGTATGAACACTGCTCAAAAGAGGATGTACCCTCGGCCATGGGGAAGTGTACCCCTGGAGGCAGGACACAGACTTCCCAGACAAAGTGACAGCAAGGCTGAAGTCAGCCAGGTGCAGAGGGGGCCCCCGAGGGAGCCCAGGCCAGTGAAAGCAGCAATACTAATCTAGAGATTCCAAGTTCAAAGAGGTTCTCATCCCTCAGGGGAAGATGTTAGACTTGACCCCAGTGGAGACCCACCCGGTAAGCAGGGGAGTGACAGGATCAGGTCGCATTTTTAAGACCTCAATCCAGTGAGAAGGAGCCCGGGAGGACATCTGGGTGTGGTTCTTGCGGTTCAAGACCTGAGGTGAGGGGCAACACTGGCTGGGGCTGGGTCGGACTGAGAGGATGTGGGGGTTTGGGAGGAGCGGGGGATGGGGGGAGGCCAGGACAATCCCCAGGCTAGTGTCTGAGCGGGTGAGCAGGTAGGGATGTCCTAGAGGGAGGGGAAGATGTGTGGGGGCGAGTCTGTGCTGAAAATGAGCCTGTCAGGAACAGGAGGAGTTTCTGATGCCTGAGATGCTCACTTCTCCATTTGAGTCATCCCAAACAAGCGATATCCTGCCTTTCCCTTTCCTAAATCATATGAAGAAAAGGCTGGAAAGAATCTTAGAAATCATGCAATCCCATCCCCTTTATTTTGCACATGAAGAAATGGAGATGCAGGGGTTTGGGGGGACCCCCCTCCCAAATATGCACCGGATCCCCAGCCCTGGAGGCCCCAGGCTCCTCCCAGGACTCGCTGAAGTGTGCTCCGTGTTTTTGCTCTTTAACACTTTTCCTAAGCATCATCTTAACCACTTGTCTGGACAAGAAACCCAGGCTCCTGAAGGTTCTCATTCAAACATGAGAAATCTTTGGCCTCTCACCAACTCAAGAAGCCCTGGATATAAAACTCATATGCTCAGGAAAGTAAAAACAAACCAGAAGCAGTTGAAAAGTTAAAAACCAGTTTAGGTTGGCATCGCCTCAAGTTGCTCACAGGCATCTGCAATTAGGGCATTTCAGTTTTCACTATGATTACATAAAAATGACAGAAAGCAGTGACCGGGCTCGTTATTTTTACTATATGAATTCTTAAATATCTCTACGCATCACAGTTTCAATCACTGGTCACGTGGCTTCCTATAAAGTTTCACTGTTTTAACTCACGTGGATAGGATCTGCAGTACTTTTTTAAAGATTCTTTTCGATTTTTATATATTTTGAAAAAGAGAGAGAAAGAAGGGGGGTGCAGGGAGGAGCAGAGAGGAGAGAGAATCCCAAGCAGGTTCCAAGTTGCCAGCGCAGGGCCTGACGTGGGGCCTGATCTCATGAACCGTGAGATCAAGACCTGAGCAGAAATTAAGAGTCCCTGCTTAGCTGACTGAGTCACCTTGGGGCCTTGGATTTGCAATAATTTTTAAAAACTGGACAAAGAAATAAAATCTACAGTGTTTGCTTATTGAGCTTTCATTTTTTTATAAGCTATTAGGGTGAAATCGTATATGTCAGAAACAATGCCGCGCTTAACAAAGGAAGGACCCTTGACCCAACGCAAGTAAAACGATAAATAAATAAATGCTCACCTGAGACGGGAGTCCTTAAAGGTGTCGAGATAGGGAGGATAACTCCATCCAATTTTGTTCCCTTTACACCGAAGCTCGAGGGTTTGCCCTGCTGTCAGACTCAGGGTGGCTGCAGGTTTCTGGAAGCGGCCTTTATCCAGCATCTGGATCATTATTGACTGCGTCTTTGGTGTGCCGTCAGCTGCGTCCCTGTCCTTTATTTTAGGAATTCTGGGTTTCACCTTCTTGTTGGTGGGCTTGATTCTGTTCTCTCCCGGCTCCTTTGGACGCTTGTTCTTCGGAGGCTGTTGGCCAGTGACTAGTACAAACGTGAGGAAAGAACAACGCACTCAAACCCGAAGGATTCAACACCTACAATGGGTAACTTTGGGGCACCATTCTCCTTCATCAAAATAATTTTCAGGAATAGCCATTATCTCAGTTCACTCTTTAGTTGCAAAACAACGAGTAACTGAAAGGGAATGTATGTTAGCTTCAGAGATTTTATTCAAGGCGCGCCTGGGTGGCTCAGTCAGTTAGGCGTCCAGTTTCGGCTCAGGTCATGATCTCACGGTTGGCAAGTTTGAGCCCCACATCGGGCTGTGTGCTGACAAGTTCAGAGCCTGGAGCCTGCTTTGGATTCTGTGTCTCCCTCTTTTCTGCCCCCACCCCACTCACGCTCTCTCTCTCAAAAATAAATAAACAGTAAAAAAAATAAATAAAAGATTTTGTTCAAATTCAGTGAAATATTGCACTTGTGAACTAAAATTTGCACTTACCAAACAAAAAGACCATTGCCTGTAGTTCACGCTGTGTCACAGTCTTTAAGGGGCCACAGAGAATTACAGCATCAGAGTCACTTGATTTAAGGGCTGTTTCCGGTCCTTGGGGTCTCAGGGTGACCTTTGTTCATTCTGAATTTACTGTTTATTTTTTTTTTTAAGTTTATTTATTTTGAGAGAGCGAGAGTGTGAGAGCAGGGGAGGGGCAGAGAGAGAGGAAGAGAGAGAGAATCCCAAGCAGGCTCCACACTGTCAGTGCAGAGCCTGATATGGGGCTCAAACTGGCGAACTGTGAGATCATGATCTGAGCCGTAATCAAGAGTCAGATGCTTAACTGAGCCACCCAGGGGCCCCTGAATTTGCTGTTCAAATGCAGAAATATGTACCCTTCAGGGAGTACAGACACACTGAGTGGAAGCACACTCAGATTTCAAGCCACTACGAACTTTCTCTCAACTGAGCGTGCACAGTGCAGTCTGTGTGTATCAGGGTAGACGGTGTCCACACAGCGTGCAAAGTTGAGGAAGGAATAAGCACTACACCTGTGCTCATTTAAAGCTTCCATAGAGCTCTTAAGAGCTCAAGGGTAACTGTAGCATTGGTTTAGAACTCAGTCAACAAAATATTTTGGGGAGGGAGGATTATTTTATCACCAGCATTGTTGATAATTGCAGGCCAAAGGTGATAATAAAAAGCTGACCTACTGTGAGTCCATTTTAGTCCTGTTTTTCCTTTCTCTACAGACAATTCACCCCTTCCTGCCTGCACCCTTGGAAGACTGCTCCCCCTCGCCTGCCCTTGAGATGCCTCCGGGCCCCAGAAACCCCCCATGTCCCACATGCCTGCCCAGCCGTGCGCCTGTGTGCACCCAGCAAGGATGAGAAGACTGTGCCGTTTCAGTTTGTCTATTTGCATGAGCTCAAAGGCAACCTCACTATATGCCCACAAAATTGCAAAATGTCCTGGGTCCTGAGAAGTCATTTAGGTAAAATTCCTTTGTTATAGATTTAAAAATTTAAGAAGACCCTTAAATGTTAAGTAAGTTGTACACAGCTGGTTAGTGGCAGAATGTGAGTAGAATTCACGTCTTCTGACTCATTCCAAGGGCGTGTTTCGCTGTATGGACATAAATATCCTGCATATATTTTGAATAAATGACTCCAAAAATCTCGGCCGAGTGAGGAAATTGCAGGGCATTTGTATAAAATGGGGAAAAGTAATTAATCAGGAGAAAAATCTTCCCTTTCTTGAGGGATGCATTTATTTATCTAATATTACCCTGGCATACGTACTTAAGACTTGGGGTGGTCAAGGGCACCTGGATGGCTCAGTCGGTTAAGCATCCCATTTCAGCTCAGGTCATGATCCTGCCATCAGTGAGTTCGAGCCCCGCGTCGGGCTCTGGGCTGATGGCTCAGAGCCTGGAGCTGCTTCGGATTCTGTGTCTCCCTCTCTCTGCCCCTCCCCCACTCACACTCTGTCTCTGTCTCTCAAAAATAAACAAATGTTAAAAAAAAAAAAAAAGACCTCAGGTGGTCAAAAGTACCAAGTCACTGCAAGTGGGATCAAGGGATGGCAAAAGATAAGTGTTGTAAGCACTTATACCAGAGGCCAGGCAGGTGACAAAACAGGGTGAGCCACATGGTCCTGGTGAAGCCATGCCCCTAAGGGATGCTGCTTCTGCTTTGGCAGACCCTGTCTTTAAAAAAAATTTTTTTTTAAATGTTTATTTAATTTTGAGAGAGAGAGTGTGTGTGAGCGAGCAGGAGTGGGGGAGGGGCAAAGAGAGAGGGAGACACAGAATCCAAAGCAGGCTCCAGGCCTAGAGCTGTCAGCACAGAGCCCGATGCGGGACTCGAACTCACGAACAGCAAGATCGTGACCTGAGCTGAAGTCGGCCACTTAGCCAACTGAGGTGGCCCCGGCAGACCCCTGTCTTAAGGAAGTACATGCTCACAGTTGCTGGGTCTAAGGCCCCCAGAAGATGGCAAAAAGGCAGATCTCCTCTGATGTATAAATATCAGAAACCCCATTTTTAGAAACTTCAGGTTTGAATCTCTGAGGTTAGAATCTAGGCAGTAATTTACCTCGGAGGGGTGGGGTGACCGGGAGGGGACATGAGGGGCATTTCCAGAAACATCCTCTCTCGATCTGGGCTAGTTACACGCATGTGTGCAATCTGTGAGCATTTCACGGAGCCATACTCTTATGTACTAAAAATTCACCTGATTTGGACACTGTGTAATGATAAACTTGGTTTCCTTTGCATGTTACCCTTTGCCCTTTGAAACAGGAGCCATTCAGACTCCACTTTTAGTTCAGCTGAGCCCAGACCCTGGAACCAATCCCACTCTGAACTCAGTATCAATCAACATCAACTGCTGCCTTCTTCAGGCTTATATGCCTTGCTCCCTGGGCCCTGCTCTTTTCCATGACTTCGGGTCCAGTTGAGAGCCCTCTTTCTTTCCCGAGGCCTGTGTCATGGGCCCTGCTGAACTTCCTCCCTCCTTCTAGGGAGCAGAGTTGTGTTCTTGAGCATCAGTCCCCAAGATGAGTCCCCATCACCTGCTGTTGAACCTGCTGTTTGCCAAGACTTCCCCTGGTCCTGCATGTTTGGTTTATTTACCCCCTAAAGTTCTAATGACAGAGGGGGATGGGCAGTGGCATAAATGCACATATTTCCCCAACCTTCCAGAAGGAGAGGCACCCTAACCATTGAGAACATGTCAGATCAACATGAGTATGCTAATCCAGCAACATCGGTTGTGAACATAAGCCTCAGTTTTGGGATAGAGTAAAAGTTACAGCACTTTACTTAAGGTAGAAAATTAAAGTCTACCGTTATGATGTCCATCATCCATGCCCCGCGGCATTTTCATCACACTGTGTCTATGGGACTCGTGGACTTTTGGGTTGAAGTCTTATGGGATGTGTTTTCTTTATCATGTAACAGGATTTCAAGCTATCAGAAATGACCACAACTGTCTGCAAGTTTTATGGAATTTAGATAACAGTGTTACTCACATGACTTCTAAGCTCTCAGATCCTATGGGACTCTGCTACTCAGGAACATTAGATTACCTACTTATGGAGAGTATGCATCCAAACAGGTGGCATTATCCCTGCGGAGTACTTTGACTGGTTTACCGAACAGACCCACCAATTGATCTAACTGTAACTGCTTGACCATGGAACTGGTCCATAGTTTGATAGCAATGACACTAAGTTACAGGAGCCACTTACAGCCACACAGACACCCAGACAGATCTGGGATTGAATCATTCCCAAATTCTATGTCTAACTTCTTAAAGAATATGACTTTTCTGTCTAACTATGTCTAAAAAAGGTCTTCAAAATTTATATGATAGGTAAGTGAGAGCCCATTACCATTTCATGTTTGAGACTATCGCATAGTAGTATTTTTATAGAGAAATAAGTGGTAAAATACACAAACTATTAAATATCATTATTGACTTCAGATCCTAGCTGCCACTTACTAGCAGTGGGACATTGGGAAGTTACCTATTCTCTCCCTATCTCTGCTCATCTGCAAATTGAGAATTATATGGTGATAATGATTATCTCATCGACTGCTATGGGGATTAAACGAGTTAATACATTTAAATGCTGAGAGTAGGGGCATCTGGGTGGTTCGGTCAGTTAGCGTCTGACTTCGGCTCAGGTCATGATCTCACGGTCCGTGAGTTCGAGCCCCACGTCAGGCTCTGTGCTGACCGCTCAGAGCCTGGAGCCTGTTTCAGATTCTGTGTCTCCCTCTCTCTCTGCCCCTCCCCTGTTCATGCTCTGTCTCTCTCTGTCTCAAAAATAAATAAACGTTAAAAAAAATTTTTTTTAATATAAGTAAATAAATAAATAAAATGCTGAGAGTAGTGTCTGACCCATAGTAAGTGCTAGCTACTTGCTGTTTTGATTGTCTTGTGATGACATCTCGTGGTGATCTCCATGATAAACTTGTGATGGAAGCAAAGCAATTATTCTTCTTCCTAATTTACAGGTGAAAAAAACTGAGATCATAGATGCCAAGTAGCTCATCGCAGGTCACTAAGAAGCTAATGAAAAAACAGACCCTTGGATAAAAGGTCTAGACTCTTCTCAGTTCATGCTATTGTCTTTTGATTCACTTAAAGATTAGCATATTGTAACAGTTTCTTTTCTTCTTCCCTTTTCCCCCCTCACAAATCTCATGCATAGCACCATTGTCCAAGTGGTTTCTTTGTGTGATATGCCCCAGGCTTTGGCAAGAAGTTCCAAATCAAACAGAATATGATGCCAAGGAGAAGGGTACAAGCTTCCTGGAATGGCTGGTTTTGCTTTTCCAAGGCATACATTAGAATCCCGAAGTGAGGAGACACTGGTCAAAAGCCTGTCTCCAAAATAAATGAGTAAATGTTACAAAGCAAGAAGTAAGCAGGACAAAGGACTATAATTCTGCATCACCAACTGAGGGTTGCAACGAAACGTTTAATAAAGGTGACCTGACTATTAACCTCTCTAATTCTATAGAATAGAATTACGTTGAAGGAGTTACAAAATAAAATTAAAAAAAAATCAGTAGCAGAATCACTGACAGCTGCTCAGATGAAGACTTGATATGAACACAGTCATTAACATAAAGATCTGTAGCTGTTTACCTTTTTCTCCTCATGGACAGGTAAGGGGAAAGGTCTCACTTGAAGGTAGCATGAAAATAAGCACACTAGAACTTTGCTGAGTAGCTCAGGGGTTCCCCAGAAAGTTATATAAACTGATGAAAATGTCCTACTCTAATGTTTTGATTCTTCATGAAACACCCCACAAGGATACATACACCTCCCCAAGGACAAAGCTGAGGTGGGAAACCAATGATACTTGGGAGATGAAAATAGAAAGCTAAGAGCCTTTTCTTTCCCTACTCTACCCCTTCTCTTTTCGAGAACCCCACTCCAAAATACCCTCCTACCATTTCTTAAAGTAGCATTTTCCTAAAAGAGCAATTTCTAAGAACAAATACTTCTATTCCAGGATGAGGCTCTTACTTTGTCAGCTCCTGCCCGACTGTACCAGGTAAGTGGCCTCTCCAAAGTGGCTCCCACATGACCAGCCTCAACCAAAAGTATGCCACGGCAGTTGTGGTCCAGCCACAGCAGTTGTGGTCCAGCCACAGCAGGAAGGCCCAGGTAGCCCATGTGGGGTGATCCTGGAATGTCTGCTTCTGGTGACCAAGAAGGATTGCACTTCTGGGCCCTATAGGACACCATTTACATGACACCAGTTCTTCAAAACTGGGAGATGTAGTTAACCTACCTAAAACACAGAAACAAACACAGAGAGTCAGAGCATGAGGAGACAGAGGAATATGTTCCAAACAAAAGAACAGGGCAAAACCTTAGATGGAACTAAACAAAATGGGAAAATAAGCAATCTATCTGATAAAGAGGTCAAAGTCATGGTCTTAAGGTGCTCACTGGACTTGGGAAAAGAATAGCTGAACACAGTGGGCTCTTCAACAAAGAGAAAGAAAATATTAAAAAGAACCAATCAGAGATGAAGAATACAATAACTGAATAAAAAATACACTAAAGGGGATCAGTGGCAGATTAGAAAATGCAGAAAAAAATGGATCAGCAATCTGGAAGACAGGGTACTGGAAATCACACACACACATGCACGCATGCACGCACGCACACACACACACACACACACACACAGACAAAAGATTTTTTAAAAATGAGAGTAGCTTAAGGAACCTCTAGGACAACATTAAGCGTACTAACATTTACATTATAGAGGTGCCAAAAGGCAAAGAGAGAAAAGGACAGAGCATTTATTTGAAAAATAATAACTGAAAACATTCCTAACGTGGGGAAGGAAACAGACATCCAAGTCCAAGAAGCACAGAGAGCCCTGACCAAGACGAACCCAAAGATGTCTACACAAAAACACATTAAAACTGAAAGTCAAAAATTGAAGATAAAGAGAGAATCTTAAAAGAAGCAAGAGAAAAGCAACTAGTTGTGTACAAGGGAACACCAAAAGACTATCTACTTGTTTTTGAACAGAAACTTCACAGGCTACAGCGGGGGGGCGTGGTTATAATATATTCCAAGTACTGCAGAAAAAAAGCAACAATCTATACTCTAACCTGCAAGATTATCACTCAAAGTTGAAAAAGAGATAAAGACTTTCCCAGACAAACAAGAGTTCAAAGAGTTCATCACCTCTAAACTGACTTTACAGGAAATATTAAAGGGACCTCCTTAAGATGAAAAGGCCATAACTGGAAGAAAATTATGAAAGAAAAAATCTCACTGGGAAAAAGCAAACATACAGTGAAAGGGATGGATCCACTGCTTATGAAGCCAGTGAGAAGGTTAAAGACAAAAGTAGTGGGGCGCCTGGGTAGCTCATTTGGTTAAGTGTCTAACACTTGATTTCGGTTTCAGTCGTGAGCTCACGGTTGTGAGACTGAGCCCCATGTTGGGCCCCACGCTGAGTGTGAAACCTGCTTAAGATTCTCTCCCTCCCTCCCTCTCTGCCCCTCCCCCCCACTCTCTCTCTCTCAAAAGACAGAAGTAGTAAAATCAACTATATTTACAATAATTACTTAAAGGAGGCACACAAAAAAATAATGTAATATGACATCACGTACATAAAACATGGGGAAGATAAAAATGTAGCGCAGTGCTTTTAGCATGTGCTCAGACGTAAGCAACCATTAACTTAAAAATCAATTGCTATATACATAGGGTAGTATGTATATATATATATATATATATACCTCACGGTAACCAGAAACTGAAAACATGTAATAATTATACTAAAAAAAAAAAAAAAAAAAACAGATTTCTGAACATAGAACTAAAGAAAGTCATCCTAAGGGAAAAGGGCAAAGGAAGACAGGAACAGAGAGAACTATAATGTTTATCTTGAGAGAGAGAGAGCGTGTGAGCAAGTGGGGGAGGGGCAGAGAGAGAGAGAGAGAGAGAGAGAATCCCAATCAGGCTCTGTTCTCTCAGCACAGAGCCCAGCATGGGACTTAAACTCAAGAACTGGGAGATCATGACCTGAGCCGAAACCAAGAGTCAGATGCCAAACCAACTGAGCCACTCAGGCACTCCAGGAACAGAGAAAGCTATAAAAGTGACCAGAACACAATGAACAAAATGGCAATAAGCACGTATCTGTCAATAATCACTTTAATGTTGATAAATGCTCCAATTAAAACACATAGGGTAAGTGAATACACAAAAAATAAACAAGACCCATCTCTATGCTGACTGTAAGAGATTCAGTTCAGAGCTAAAGACACAAACAGACTGAAAGTAAGGGATGGAAAATGATTATCCATGCTAACGGAAATTTTTGAAAAAGAAAGAAAAAAAAAGAAAAGAAAAGGAAAAAAAATCTGGGGTAGCAAAACTTCTATCAGACAAAAGAGACTTTAAAACAAAAACTGTAAAAAGAGACAAAGAAGCATATTCTATAATGATAAAAGCATCAATCCAGCTGGAGGATATAGAAATTGTAAAGATCCATGCACCCAACATGGAGGCACTAAATACAAAAGCAAATTTTAACAGACCTCGAGGGAGAATTTTGCAGTAATACAGTGACAGTAGGGGACTAACATGCCCATTTGTTATCAATGGATAGACCATCCACACAGAAAACCGAAAGGAAACAGTGACTGTAAGCAATACATTAGACAGACAGGCTTCACAGATATATTCAGAACATTCCATCCCCAAACAACAGAATACACATTCTTTACGAGGGCGCATGGAACATTCACCAGGACAGATCACATGTTAGACCACAAAACAAGTCTCAGTGAATTTAGGAAGACTGAAATCATACCAAACATTGTTTCTGACCACAACAGTATGACACTAGAAATCAATTATGATGGGAAAAAAAGCTAGAAAAAACACAAGCATATGGAGGCGAAACAAAATGCTACTAAACAACTGATTAGTTGATAAAGAAATCAAAGAAATCAAAAATACCTGGAGACAAATGAAAATCAAAGCGTAACGTTCCAAAATCTATGGGATGCAGCAAAAACAGTTCTAAGAGGAAGTGTATAGAGATGTAGATCTAACTCAAGAAATCTAACCTTATACCTAAAGGAGTTGTGGGGGGCAGGGGGTTAGAGGAGGGAAGGCCCAAAGTTAGCAGAAGGGAGGAAATCATAAAGACCACAGTAGAAATAAATGAAATCGATACTTTAAAAAAATACAAAAGATCAATGAAACTAAAAGCTGGTTCTTTGAAAAGAGAAAGAAAATTGAATAAACCTTCAGCCAGACAAATAAAAAAAAAAAGAGGTTCAAATAAAGAAAATGAGAATGAAAGAGAAGTTACAACTGACAGCACACATATACAGTCGTAAGAGACTACTATGAGAAATGACAAATTGTACTACCTAGAAGAAACGGATATATTTCTAGAAACATAAAACCTTCTAAAATTGAATCAGGAAGAAATAGAAAATCTGAACAGACTAATTACTGGTAATTAAATTGAATCAGTAATCAAAAAATCCCAACAAACAAAGTCCAGAACCAGATGGCTTCACTGGTAAATTCTACCAAAAATTTAAAGAAGTAATACTTAACTTTCATAAACTATTCCAAAATATTTAAGAAGGAATGCTTCCAAATTCATTCTATGAGGTAACTATTACCCTGATACCAAAACCAGACAAAGATGTATGAATAAAGAAAATTAAAGGCTAATATCTCTCATGAACATGGTTGTAAAAATCCTCAACAAAATAATAGCAAACCACATTCAACAATACATTAAAAGGATTATACACAATGATCCAGTAGGATTTATTCCAGGGAATCAAGGATGTGTCAATATATCTGCAAATCAATCAACATGATGCACCACATTAACAAAATGAAGGATAAAAAACCATATGATCATCTCAATGGATGCAGATAAACATTTGACAAAATTCAACATCTGTTCATGACAAAAACTCTCAATAAAATAGGTATAGAAGAAACATACCTCAACATAATAAATCCTATATATGAAAAACCCACGGCTAACATCATACTCAGTGGTGAAAAGCTGCAAGCTTTTCTTCTAAGAGCAGGAACACAACTGGGGTACTATTCTCACCATTTTTATTCAAACCATTACAGGGAGCTCTAGCCACAGCAATCAGATATAAAAAATGAATAAAAGTTATCCAAATTCGTAAGGAAGAAGTAAAATCATCCTTATTTATAGATGACATGATATTATATATATAGAAAATCCTAAACACTCCACCAAAAAACTACTAGAATTGATAAATGAATTGAGTAATGTTGCACGATACAATGTTAATATACAGAAATCTGTTGTGTGTCTATAACACTAATAATAAACTAACTGAAAGTAATTCAGACAACAGTCTCATGTATCATTGCTTCAACAAGAATAAAATACCTCGGACTAAATTTAACCAGGAAGATGAAAGACTTGCTCTGAAAACTGTAAGACATTGATGAAAGAAAATGAAAACGACACCAAAATATGGAAAGATATACCATGTTCATGATTACAAAAATTAATATTAAAATGTACATACTATCCAAAGGGATTTACAGATTCAATCTATCCCTATCAAAATATAAGTGGCATTTTTCACAGAACTAGAACAAATAATCTTAAAATTTGTATGGAACCACAAAAGATCCTAGATAGCCAAAGAAATCTTGAGAAAGAAAAACAAAGAATTAGATATCATGCTCCCAGATTTCACACTGTACTACAAAGCTACAGTAATCAAAATAGTGTGGTACAAAAACAGACACACAGATCATTGGAACAGAATAGAGAATCCAGCAATAAACCCACCCTTATATGGTAAATTAATCTATGACAAAGGGACTAAGAATACACAATGGGGAAAAGAATATCTCTTCAATAAATGCTGCTGGGAAAACCAGAGAGCTACATGAAAAGAATAAAACTGGACCACTGTCTCACACCATATACAAAAATCAAATCAATATATAAATCACTACATAAAATCAAAATGGATGAGAGGCTTAAATGTAAGGCTTGAAACCATAAAACTCATAAAAGAAAACATAGGCAGTAAATTCTTAAACATCAGTCTTAGCAATATTTTTTTGGATCTGTCTCTATAAGGCAAACCCAACAAAAGAAAAAATAAACAACTGAGCATATCAAACCAAAAAGGCTTGCACAGCAAAGGAAACCATCAACCAAAGGAAAAGTCAACCTGCTGAATAAGAGAAGATATTTGCAAATGATATATCTGATAAGGGATTAATATCCAAAATATATAAAGAAGTCATACAACTCAACACCAAAAAGAAGTCTGATTTAAAAATGGACAGAGGATCTGAAGAGACATTTTTCCAAAGATGACATACAGATCACCAAAAGACACATGAGAAGGTGTTCAATATCACTAAATATCAGGTTAATGCCAGTCAAAACCACAATGAGATAACACCTCACACCTGTCAGAATAGCTAAAATCAACAACACAAGAAAGAACAGGTATTGGAGAGGATGTGGAGAAAAAGGAACCCTCATGGATTGTGGGAAATAAGCTTGAGTTTGCACTGATGGGTTAACAAGGCATAAAAAATTAGAAAGTCATAGGATGTACACACCTAAGTTTGGGTAAACAACATTAGGTAAATAAGATTAGGTAAACAGGGCAAAGCCCTCCAGTACAGGAAAAAGGTGTAGGAATAGGGAATCTCAGAATGAAAACATCCAAGATGAGGCAAACAAGATTAGGTATTCAGGGTGGAAATGCCCTCCAACTTAGTACAATAGTAGAAAGCTGATTTCACAGGAAGGATGGACCAAAATAGGTAAACACGGCTATAGACCATAGCAGGGCGAAGTTGCCCAGAGTGGAGCTAATTAGCAAAAGAAAGGTACCTTGCTGACCCTGAGACAACATGCGCTGTCTTTCTTGTCCCCCTAGTCCAGTTTAGGTAAACAGAGGTGGCTCCTCATGTGTGATGTAAACAACCTTCCTCCCAGCTCTACGATTCTGTTTTGTATTGACCCAAACCCCTAACACCACATATCTCCAAAACCCCCTTTTCTCTACTCCATGAGTTAATGTTCACTGTTTCATTGTCTCTCTGTTCATGCCCATCATACTTGTAAGCCTTCGATCCTAATAAAAAAGGAGCAAGGACCCTTACTCTTGTCTCCTCCCAGACATTAGCCTCTCTCGCATTTTCAGTCCTGTGTCCTGCTCTCTTGATGGACAAGAGAGAACTTCAGACCCAGAGTCTAGGACAGTGGATTACTGATGGAAATGTAAATTTGTGCAGCCACTATTGAAAACAGTATGAAGTTTCATCAAAATATTAAAAATAGAGGGCACCTGGGTGGCTCAGTCAGTTAACCTATTGGCTCTTGGTCTCAGCTCAGGTCATGATCTCACATTTCATGAGTTCAAGCCCCAC